TAAAATGAGAAACCTACTGAGGAAGGCCCGAAACTGATGATAGAAAAAGCATACAAATTTTTACTTCAGCAAAAATTATTCTTTTTTTTTTATCATCTGTTGGGGCATCAAATGACATTGTCAACAGAGAGAAAAAAAAAAAAATAGCTGAATACTGATTTAAAAAAAATAAAATCTTAAAACGACATTGAACAAAGGTGACATTACACTTTTAAAAAACTGTATTAGATTGCACTTTGTTAAGAATAGCACATCTGTTGATTTCACAGTCCCAATTTCACAGAAAATTCCGCACGATCACAGAAATGCGCATATTCCTATACAGAGGGAACTTTAATGGGAAAGGCGATTTAGCAGTCTAATGAGGCATAAGACCACAAGTTGATTGGTAGTGTTAGAAGATCGAGTACGATTCTTCAGAATTAAAATGCTCTCCCATACTGAAAACTACGTATATCTAGTGTACTTTTCAGTGCTTCCGAAAGCCAGTGTCCCATCAAGTAATTATGATATGCCATGCTTTAACAGTCCGTGCAACTTCCCAAAAAAATATCTCACTGTTAATTATAAAAATATGAGCTCCCAAAATTATAAAAGACCTCTTGTCTCGCCTATCAACAGACCCTTGAGATGCTTCTATTTATCCATATTAAACACCAGCATACTTCAAGAAGACCAAGCACCACCGTGTTTTTACGAATTATAACTAATTTTCAAGTTCTTAAGCTTTGAGGATCAAAATTCAAAATCCTTGCTTAGTTTATGGATAGCTTGTTTAATTAGTATTGGAAGTATTGTTGATTGTAAAAGAACTAGCAGAAGAACTAAGGATTTGTCAGTTTTTTATTCAAATACAGGACAAGCATGAAGAGAGCAGCAGTCCAATTTTAGTACAGCTTATACATGAAATTTCACAAGTAGTAAAAACCTTCATAATAGCATACAGCAAAAAGCTGTGATATGAAGAGCATCCGTTGAGCACAATGCAAGCCAACATCACGGGAGCAGAGTCTTCTTCTGCCCCTTCTGAAATTTCGTTTAAAAAGTCGAAGGAAACTGACTGTAAAGGACGACTTCAAATACAGCTACTTTAACAACTGCACTGAGCATAACGGCGCCGAGATTCTAGGTCCCCAATACTTCAAGACTGTTGGACTAAATGAGCTGTCATTTGCAAAAATCTGCTCTACAGTACGTTATGGGTAATGGTGTTTACTGATGATTTCGGGTTCACTCAGTGAGGCTGAGACTTTCTGCACAGCATTTGCTTCATACTTTTGTAAGTGCTAGAAAAGCATTGATAAATTATTTTAATAAATTTTATCTTCTCTGTTATCGCTCTTTTAAATTAGTGATACGACAAATGACCTGTGCATGTCATTGGCAAAAAAAAAAAAAAAAAAAAAAA